CTCCCCAGCCCCAGCGGCTCGGTGAACCCCCTGCCCCACGCGGGAGACAGCACCCCAGCCCGGTGCGGCCAGGGGCTGTGACGCTCGTGTCAGCTGGACCTCGCCGCTGGCCGCAGTGCACAGCCAAGCTCATCTGCGGGGGGAGCCCGGGAGGATGTCCAGGCAGGGGGAGAGCACCCCAGGAGACCAGGGGCCCACATCGACCGACGTTCAGAACACGGAGGCTCGGCCCTGCGGCGGGGACGGGGGGGCGGCCTGGACTCCAGGGCTCCTTCTCCGGGAGAAAGGGACCCCGCGAGTGGGGGGCCCTCCACGCGCCCCGGGCTGACGCCTGGGCTCCACGCGGCAGGGGGGAACACCAGCAGCCGCGCTCACACGGGCAGCGCTGGGCAGACCAGCGGCGGAGAGGACAAGGCCAGCGGGCGCTCTAGGGTGGGCGGTGGCAGGGGCGCGGCACCAAGTGGGCGGGCCGCGGCGGGCACCTGGCGGGTGCCCAGGAGCTGCACGCGGCTGCAGTGTGACAGGCAGTCCCGGCCGGCCCGGCCACCCGGAAAGTTCCATGCTGCACAGTGCTGAGAGCAGCCAGGCAACTGCCGCTCTGCTGAGGTGGGGGGAGGGGCGGCGGTGGCGGCATCTGGAGTCATCGATCTTCCTTTTCCTTCCTAATTTCGTGGGCGCTGAGTTTGCAGACGGAAGAGGGAGGGAGGCCCGAGACGGTGGGGGAAGGGACGGGCGCGAGTTGGGAGAGCCGGGCCGCCGCGCCGCTGTTTGCCGCCAGCAAACAAGGCCCCTTCAGCCAGCTGCCCACCCGCCGCCCGCGCTCCAGCTCCCTCCCGCTGCCGCCGCTGCTAATTTTATCCGCCCCCAGCCCTGGCCAGGGCGTTAATTGGCTGCGGCTTCATTAGCAGTTCTCAAGCTCACTCGCCCCCCTCCCCTCGGGACCCCTGGCTGGGGCGAAGGCGGGGGCACCCACAAGCTGAGGCGCGGAACAACTTCTGTCTCCAGCCCTCCGCCGCCCAGTCCTGGGTCTCGGTGCTGACGCAGAGAGGGCAGCCCCCTCTGCTCCTGCTGGAAACTGAGTCACAGGTGAACCTGACCCGGCTGTTCCTGGGAGTGAAAAATCTGTAAGGGAAAAGCAACACTGGATGCATGGATGGATAATGGAACCAACTGACAGAAGGGAGGGGGTAGTGTTGGGGGTCAGAGGCCCGGTGCAGAGGAGTCCAGTCAGCTCCCAGGTAACAGCAGGCGAGGGCTGGAGGTGAAGGAAGGCTGGTGTGAGCTAAGGGCACCTGGCGTGCCAGTCCAGGGGAGGTGACCGGAGTTGGAGTTAGTAAATGAGTCCACCTGACCTCAGTCTCCTCACTTCTGAAGTGAGGACAGAAGAAGGTTCCTCATCACAAGAAAATAAATGCAGCTGTGTACGGGGACGGACGTTAACTGGATTTATCCGAGTGATCACTCTGTGGTATATATAAATACCGAATCCACACGCCACCCATCTGGCTACTAAATGTTTATGTCAGTTATGCCTCAGTCTTTAAAAAGTGTGTCCCACAGAGCACGTGAGCATGTTCTGTTCAGTGACGGATTGTCTCCCGCCGATCCCGACTCAGGAAACCGCCGCCTCAGCCACTAGCTCTCCTCTCCACAGCTGCCTGGCCTGTGGCGCTTTTCTGCCTCTTGGTGTCCTGGCAGTCAGGTCACTTTAGACCGACGACTGTGGCACAGAGTGTGCGATGTGTTGGCTGAATGCATGACTGCATGACTGCGTCAGCACTGTAGGCAATGGCTCTCGGCCTCAGTGGCTTAGTCACCCTCTGAGGACAGGTTGGCTGGTGTCAGCGGGAGAGGGCCAGTGCCGGCCCTTAAGATGGAGTCAGTTTGGGGCCTCCCCCGTGAAGCAGCACTGTGAAGCTGCCTGCAGGCACGCAGCTGAGTTCAATCCCCAAAGGCCAGGGAGTGACCACAGGGCACAGCAGGCCCCTCCTGACTCCCCGCTCCTCCCCTCAGCAGCGAGGTTCAGTGCTTCCCCACTCTGTCTCTGGTGAATCCTCTCAGCCCCTGCACCTCTGGCCTGTACCCCAGTTCTGTATGCACACAAAGATGGCGTTAGGAGCTGTGAGGAGAGGCCAACAAGCCTCTATTTATACCCCATTTCCCAGGCCATTCTGAGGTGCAGATTTGACTCCAGGAGGAGTCAAACAGTCCCGCCACGGCTAAGTGCAGCATAAAAGGAATATTCCTCCAGTTCCGAGGGCCTTCCAGTCCAGCCTGCAGGCAGTAACAGGTAACTCAGCTCAACAGGTGCAGCGGGAGGCGGGGTGCCTCTCTGTTGTTCACTGAGCGGTCCAGGATGCCATGACCTGCGGGCGCGGGCAGGAGCAGCCAATCCACCCCAAAGAATGTCTACACCGGCCGTTTCACTCAGTCCCTGCCACCTGTTGCTTTACACTGAGGACACTGGTGCCCGGGTGGGCGGACTTGCCTGGCAGCCCCAGATCTGAGACTTGAACTCCGTCTCCCACCGCGGCAGGCCGGGTGCTTCCCAGCGCGCGTCCGACCCTGTCATTCCCAGGCTGCGCCGGGTGGCCAGTGGGCGTCCGCAAGGGGTCGGCGTCAGGACGACACCCGGGGCCGTTCCCGGGACGGGCCCCTGAGGGGGGCGCGCAGCGCCGGCCCCCCTGTCTTTCACACAAGCGCCTCTGACCCGGGGTCAGGATGGGGCACTAAAACGGAAGCGACCCGGAGACTACAACTCCCAGAAGGCACAGGGCCCGCGCGTGCGTAGGCCCCGCCCCCGGCGCATGCGCCCCGCACGAGCCTTCCGCCTCCCGCTCACTCCGCCGGAGTTCGCGGCTGGACCTCCGGCTCCTGGCAGCGCTGGCCGAGATGCTGCTCCTGTCCCTGCTGCGGGCGGCTCGGGTGAGTGTGCCCCGGCTGGCCGCGGGCCTCTGCAGGGCAAGGGCCCTGCGCCCGCTTCTCAGGCAAACTCCGGGGTTCTTCCGGCGTTTGCTCGCACGTGTTCTGAGTCCTGGGGTGCAGACTAGCAACTAGTGAGTCTCTGAGAGCCGGGGCGCGCGCCGGGTCACCGTCCCCTCCCTGCCCCCGCGACCGAGTGCTCGGGGCCTCCTGACGTGGCGCTCGGGAGCGAGCCCGCCCCGGATGCCCGCGGGCCCTACACCGGTGAGCCCGCGGAGTGCGGGCCGGGCCGCCCGGGGCCTTCCTGCCAGCTTGGGGCAGCGCCGATGACGCAACGGGCCCGCCGCTTGCATCAGGGGGCCACAGCCGTGTGGGCCGCGAGGAGATGCGAAGTGTGGGGTCTGGCCTCTGCGCCAGCACCTCACCCCTAACCACCCGCCCCCGGTTGGGGGAGGGGCAGCAGCCTCCTGGGGAAGCCCCCTTCGTTCGGCGGTGGGGAGGCTCAGCGGGGCGCCCCGGTTGCAGAGACTCGGCCTGCCAGAGGACAGACTTTGCCCCGCGGCTTTGCGGAGTGGGTCATGGATCAACGAGGAGGGAGATTCAGGGGTGAAGTGAATGGACCGAATCAGAGCCACCCCCTGGACATTGATCTCAGCCTTGGCTCTTAGAGCTGGCTTTCCCAGGCGGAGGTGGGGGTGGTGAGACCTGGGACTCGAGGGACAGCTGGCCACCCGCTGGGTTTGCAGCCACGCCTGATGAGCATGAGGGTCATTGTGAGGCTTCAGTGGATGCTTCCCCCCCCCCCCAGCCTCTGCCACGATGTGGTCAGCTGGTGAGGACGGCCACACGGTGCCAGCACAGTGAGGCGGCCCGGACCCAGGCTGGAGAAGCCTCCAGGGGCTGGACGGGCCAGGAGAGCCTGTCGGACAGTGACCCCGAGATGTGGGAGCTGCTGCAGAGGGAGAAGGACAGACAGTGTCGTGGCCTGGAGCTCATCGCCTCGGAGGTAGGTCTGGGCTGGGCAGGGCCGGGGGTCCAGGAGGTGACGGGTCCTCTCACTGCCTTTCCTCCAGACCCTCCCTTCAGGGTCAGGGCCTTACTGCCCTCACACCCCTCTGAAGCAAAGGCAGGGTCAGTCTGGGGCCCGGAATGGGGGCGTTCGAGAACTTGCAGAGCCTTGAGGGGCCCACTCCTGCTCCTGGAGACTGCAGGAACCAGGAAGCTCAGCTGCTCATGGCCGTGTCGGGCGATCACATCCTGATAGCTGGTTCCGTCCCAGGCCTGGCAGGGAGCCCCGGATGAGCAGCCTGGCTCCCTGCGCGCAGCCTGGGGCCGCAGCAGGGGGCTGGGGGTCTCGGTGCCTCTGACATTGCCCCGCTCCCCCTCAGAACTTCTGCAGTCGAGCCGCACTGGAGGCCCTGGGGTCCTGTCTGAACAACAAGTACTCGGAGGGCTATCCTGGCAAGAGGTGCGAACTGGGCGCCAGAACTGGGCTGGTGGGCACCGTCAGGGCTGTGCACCCAGGCGGGTCCGTCTGTGAGGAGGGCGCCTTGTGGCTGCCGGGCGCGGGGGAGGGTGGGGCTTTTCCTCTGCACCTTTTTAAAAAAGGACATTTATTCTGTGGAAGAACAGGGGTGCAGGCCAGAAGTGCGGGGGTGAGAGGATCCACCAGGAACAGAGTGGGGAGCAGAACAGGCGGACCCACTGAAACACATTGCTGAGGGGAGCATTGGGGAGACAAGAGGGGCGACCCTGGGGGTCCCTCCCCGGCCCGAGTTAGGCCCCGGGGTGGTAGCGCCGAGACTCACCCCGGGGCCCCAGGGAGCCTCTCTGAGCCTTATCTACCTGTCTCCCGTGCAGATATTATGGGGGCGCAGAGGTCGTGGATGAAATCGAGCTGCTGTGCCAGTGCCGGGCCTTGGAGGCCTTTGACCTGGACCCCGCGCGGTGGGGGGTCAACGTGCAGCCCTACTCGGGGTCCCCGGCCAACCTGGCCGCCTACACAGCCCTGCTGCAGCCGCACGACCGCATCATGGGGCTGGACTTGCCCGACGGGGGCCAGTGAGTCTGGTGGCTGATGGGGCCCGCGGCGCGGGGGGAGTCTTTGTTGAGCCCTGCAGATGGAACAAGCCCCCCCTGCACGTTACCGTGGTGAAGAAGGGCCCCCAGGCGTGGTGCCCCCCAGAGAGCAGCCCCAGGGGTGGGCCTCGAGCGGCAGGAAGGGCTGAGGGTCGGTCCCCTGAGTGCACCTCCCCTCCCCACAGCCTCACGCACGGCTACATGTCTGACGTCAAGCGGGTCTCGGCCACCTCCATCTTCTTCGAGTCCATGCCCTACAGGCTGGACGTGAGTGGTCTGGGGAGCGGGGCGCTGGGCGCGGAGGGTGCGGGCGGAGCCCTGGCAGCCCTGCGGGCCGAGAGCGGCGTGCGTGGCCTGTGGCCTGCTCGGGGCGTCAGCGCCGCCTGTCCGTCCGTCTGTGCAGCCCCAGACCGGCCTCATCGACTACGACCAGCTGGCGCTGACCGCCCGGCTCTTCCGCCCGAGGGTCATCATCGCCGGCACCAGCGCCTACGCGCGCCTCATCGACTACGCCCGCATGCGGGAGGTCTGTGCGGCCCTCGGCGGGCAGGGCGGGCGGGCATCGCGTCCCCTTCTGGCCCAGCTGATGCCCCCCCCCCCAGGTGTGTGATGAGGTCAGGGCGCACCTGCTGGCAGACATGGCCCACATCAGTGGCCTGGTGGCGGCCAAGGTGATACCCTCGCCCTTCGAGCACGCGGACGTGGTCACCACCACCACCCACAAGACCCTGCGGGGCGCCAGGTGAGGCTCCCGCCCTGTCCCCCTTCCCTGCCATCACCTTCACGCCTGGGCCGGGGCGCTGGGCCGGGTCGGGGGGAGCCAGTCCCGCCTTGGCCCCAGACTCCTCGCGCTGGCGGCGTCCCTGGCCGGGGCTGGGAAGGAGGGGGCTGCCTCTGGGTGACCAGCTGGCCCCCCCCTACACCCCCACCCCTCACCCTTTGGGGTGCAGCTTCTGACTACCCGCCTCGCAGGTCAGGACTCATCTTCTACCGGAAGGGGGTGCAGGCTGTGGACCCTAAGACTGGCCGCGAGATCCCTTACACGTTCGAGGACCGAATCAACTTTGCTGTGTTCCCCTCCCTGCAGGGGGGCCCCCACAACCACGCCATTGCGGCCGTGGCCGTGGCCCTGAAGCAGGTTGGGCGCGCACCCGCGGGGCGCTGCGGACCCGTCGCTTCGCTGCCCTAAGTCCGAGCTGAGGGGGAGCCGGGGGGCCAGCCTGGGGCCGTCGCTGCGGGTGGAGGCGCAGAGGGCGGGCTCGGTCACGCCTGCTGTCTCGCCCGCAGGCCTCCACCCCCATGTTCCGCGAGTACTCGCTGCAGGTTCTGAAGAACGCGAGGGCCATGGCCGACGCCCTGCTGGAGCGCGGCTACTCGCTGGTGTCTGGTGAGCCAGGGAGCGGCCCGAGCCCCCGTGGCCCCCCGTAGAGCCACACTCACCACCCCACGGCTGCCCTCCTTAGGTGGCACCGACAACCACCTGGTGCTCGTGGACCTGCGGCCCAAGGGCCTGGACGGCGCGCGGGCCGAGCGGGTGCTGGAGCTGGTGTCCATCACGGCCAACAAGAACACGTGTCCCGGAGACCGAAGCGCCGTCACCCCCGGGGGCCTGCGGCTGGGTGAGGCCCGGTTGGGGGTGGGGCCGCGGGGTCGACCGGTGGGCGCTGACCCCGGCGGCCTCTGCAGGGGCCCCGGCCTTGACCTCTCGGCAGTTCCGCGAGGATGACTTCCGCAGAGTCGTGCAGTTTATAGACGAAGGCGTCAGCATTGGCTTGAAGGTCAAGAGCAGGACCGGTGAGTGAGCCAGGCACTGGGAGCCGAGGTCGCTGCCTGCCC